GCTGAAAGGCAATGTGCCACTTCCGGAGTGAAAGACCGCCTGTGGGGGCAGGCACTAGGCTGAGGCCTGGGCTCACCTGTCGCATCTGGGAAGGAAGGACCTGCGCTCCTATCCCTACTGCACCACTTACCAGTCCGCTGGCACTGGTAAGTCCGTGCCTCAGTTTCCTTCACCTAAAATGGAAGCAAAAGGAGTGTCTCCCTCTAAGGGCTGGTTATAAAAGGATGAAACGACGACACAGGCAAAGCCTTAGCCCAATAGTATGTGACGGTGCTTCCAAATGGCTGGTCAGTATTATCGTTTGCATCATCATTATTACGACACTAAGGACTGGCTAGAGACCGCCCAGGGAGCAGGGTCCCAGTTTGCACTGACCTCTCGGAGCCAGTGACTGCTGACCCGGGAGCTGGGCCAGACTTGCTGTGTGCCCCTGACAAGCCTCTGCCCTCTCTGCCTCAGTCTATAAACGAGCCCTCGCGTATTTGGAGAGGATTTGCCCCCTCCCCCATTGGCGATTTAAGGCATTGGGAGCTGCAGTGCAAGTAGAATTGGTCGGGGAGGGGGTGTCCCGCCCGGGTGGGGGTGACGTGAGCTGGAGGCAGGCATGGCAGCAGTGTGGGCAGCAGCACACGGACCTCCTCAGGACCTCGTGGCAGCTCCTCCTAGGGGACCATGGTGCTTCTCGCAGAAGAAGGCAGGCTGTGCCCACCCAGGCTGTGTTACCATGACACTGGTCTCCATGGTGCCAGGCACACAGCCTTCCCTTCTCTCAGGAGTAACAGAAAGTGACAGGACCCCTCCGCCTGTCCCTCTGTCTCCATCAGCCCCTGTGAGGTCCCTGAGCCCCTGAGGGGGGAGAACAGGGAGGAAGGACAGGTTCCACCTCTGAGGGTCAACAGAGTGGCAAAGAGAGGACTCAGAGTGACGAAGGTGGAGGAAGAGATTACAGAAGGTGGCACCGAGCGGGGAAGGGCAGAACGCTGGGGAGACAGGCTGGAAGGAAAAGGCAGGCGGTGAGGAAAGAGAACACACTATCGTCAAGGAGGGGGAGTGCCTCCCAGGCTGGCAGGTGGTGGGAGGCGCTGTCCAGCCCATGTCTTCAGTCCCAGTGTTTGGAGGTGGGTGGAGGTGGGAGGACAGAGTGGAGGAGGAGCAGCAGGAAGGATGGGGACAATTTTCCTAGAGAGCTTTGTGTGTGCAGAGTGTGTGCATGTGTGTGTGTGTGTGCGCGCGCGCGCGTGCGTGTGTGTGTGTGTGTGTGTGTGTGTGAGTGTAGCTGAGGTGTGCAGGCACGTGTGTGCAGGGAAAGTGTGTGTGTGGCTTGTGTGTGCCTGTGCCACTGTCTCCAGGGTGATAAATACAGTAACAGGAGCTGTAACCAGGGCAGAGAAAGTACATAAATTCCCACAGGCTGAAAGCGGGATGGGGCGGGAACACACTAAGGGATGACCAGAAACAGTCCCTGACACATCTTTCCGGGGCCAGTTCCTCGCTGGGTGCAAGTGACCTGGGCGCACACACACACACCTTATGTGCACCCCGTATAGTAGGAACAAAGAGCAATTCAGAAGGGCTTCCTGAAGGTGTCAATCGGAAAAGAGACTGGGAGCTCAGACAGACAGAGACAGACATTCTCAAGATCAGGGTTTGGGTCACTTAGGTCAACAGAGCTGGCTAAAGGAATAGGAACTTCATTTTTCTGATGGGGAGAAGACTCCAAGGAGCCCATTTGACAGGGTTCTGGACACATGAAAGAAACTGATAATACAGGTAAGAATCCCAACACCAGAGGCAGGAGAGGGCTGGAGGGCCCCTGGGCCAAGTAAGCACCATCTGCAACAGGCTGCTCACTGCAGTGACATCACTCTGCCTTGGCTCATGCCATTCCCTCTCCTGGAGATGCCTTCCCCCCAACTCCATCTGCAGTAACACACTTGTTTTCTAGCCTCACCTCATCGTGGAGTCTTTCCTGATCGATACTCCCCAACAGAAGGCTCCCTCCTTCCCCCACACCACTTACTCATCCGCTCCCACTCAGCGTTCAGTAAAGCTCTACACACAGTAGATGTTCAGGAAATGCTCATTGAATGACAATATATGGGCCTGGAGAGGATCTGGATGCCGTGGTGTCCCCCAGACATATTTGGGAAGGTGATTATCAAGGGGTAGTGCTAAGTACTCCACTTATTGGCTCATTTATCCTCCCATTAGTAGATATAGGCATACCTCGAAGATATTGTGAATTTGGTTCTAAACCAATACAATAAAATATAATCAATATTTTTGCTGGTGGAGGGTCTGCCTTTACTTTGTAAAAAAAAAAAAAAAAAAAAACAACACATAATATCTGTGAAGCACAATAAAGTGAGGCATGTCAGTACTATTAATATCTCCAAAGTACAGATGATGAGAATATGGTGGATTATAAACCTTGGGAATTCAGTCAAAGCTCCACAGCTTGTAGATGGAGTGTCGGCCCAGCTGGCATCCACACCCACACTTTTCAAAAAAAACTCAGCTCTGGTCAGGGGGCCTGGGAGCCACCAGAGCATGGGCCCAGGACAGAAGACCTCAGCTCCAGGCCTCCTCCCAATCCAGCTCATAGGGGAGAGGGGAGGGGTTAGGGCCCATCTTCCCCTCCCCTACTCCATTGCTTTCCTGCAGAGCCCAAGGGTCTCCTGGGGACCAGAGGCTCTTGATAGCTGCTGAATGCTTGTAGAGTGGGCAGGTTGAACAAGGAGATGGAAGAGACAGACATCCCATCCCACTACCCACTCCCAGCCCTTCCCCCATCTCTCTTCTCAGCCACCTTCCCATCCACAATGCTCTCGGACTTGCCACAGCTTTCTCTCCCAGGGCTCCCTGTGGTCCCTTGAAATTAGGCCCAGACTTGGGTTGACTCTTAAAGTCCTGTCCTCCTCCCCCAACAAATCAACCCATCCCCCCTCCAAGTCCCATCTGCTCCGTGTGCACGGCCAGCTCAGGGGCACCTTTTACAGGAGGCCCTCCCTCTCCGAGAGCTGCTGCCCTCCCCTCAGCAGGTCTAGCTTTGAGCTCCTCAGCTACTGCCCGCCCCAACCCAACCTCAAATAACATGTGGACAAACCTCTCAAGACATCCCATTTCTAGGAATCCTTGTGACAAAGACCAACAGAGCTTCCTAACCCACCCAACACCGCGGTCATTGCCACAATTCATTAAGGTTGAGGCCCGAATGGCTCGTGATTCCAAGAACAAGTACATTAAACTCCTGACAGTTGAGATCCTCTTCCCCGGAGAACAAGTGGGGCCACTTATGAGAGTGAGCAGAGTTGTAATAAGGAGAGGAGTGCAGGAGGGAAACCACTCCAAAGCAGGGCAGTGGAAATGGACTTCAGCCCAGACCCAGGAGAGCTATGTGACCTTGGGCCAGTTGCCTGCCCTCTCTGAGCCTTACTTTCTTCCTCTGCCAGGAGATAGTGCATAGAGCACAGGAGCTGAAACACGATAAGTGCTTGGTAAAGAGCTGTTCCTTTCTCCTCCTCCTCCTCTTGCTCCTCCTCTTGCTCCTCCTCCTCCTCCTCCAGGATGTCCGAAGCACATCCCTGCTCTGTGCTGCCTCCCAGAGTATCACCAGTCTGAGAGGCAAAGTTAGAGGCAAAGTTAGGTCCCACCCCCCACTCCAAAAGAGCAAGGCCTGGGACAGGATGGTCACACTAGAGACCTCCCTAGCCGGTTCTGAGACCCAATGTTGAGCTGTGGCTGCTCCCTGGTGGCCCCATGCGGTCACTGCAGCCAGGCCCTTGGCCAGGGCAGTGACATTGGCAACTTAGGAGAGGGCAGACTCCAGTTTCATCCATCCTCTCTCTCAGCCTCAGTCCAAGGTCAGATTCAGGGAAGATTCCAGCCCCTGAGCACCTGGATGAGGGCTGTCCTGGCTGTGGGTGGAATGGTCAGCCTGGCCTGGAGAAGCCCACCTGGGGCAAGACAAGAGTCCAAGACCTAAGGGGCTCAGCTCCAGCCCTGGACCCATTCCAGTCTCCTGGCATCCACCTCCCATTCGCAAGGAACAAGGGACCTGCAGTCCAGGTTCCCAAGGTTCCTACCCAAACCCAGGCCTCCCCATGGAGCAGTCACATGAGTCAGAGGTCATGTGACCCATCTTCCATCTCTCTGCCTAGCCCGAGTGGTTGAGACTGAGGCTGAGAGGTCAGCCTGTCTGCCCGCTGGGCCCCTGGAGAGAGGCGGTAATGAGACCAGGCAGAGGCGGGAATGTGGTGTCTGGCATCGTCCCAGGGAGTCCCAAATCCATCTCTGAGCAGCTCATTATCTCCTCTGCTTGCCAGGTCCTTGTCTTCTTGGAGGAAATGACCCAGCAGTGCCTAGTGAGGGCAGCTTCCCTATGAAGGCAGGGCCTGCCTCTGGAGGGGTCTGCACAGGGGCCAACAGTACCCTGAGGCCCTTCTTCCTAATTTAATAAAACTCCTGTAACCCCATGACCTTGTGACTCAGAGGAGCTTGTGGGAGACTTCCCTGAGTCACACACATGCCACACAGGCTCCTGCTCAGGAATAGGGGCCAGTCTGGATGGATGGGGGTATGTCCTGGCTAGGATCGGGACCAGCACTGCCCACCCTGGCTGCACAGAAGTACAGTCGGATGGCATGGAGCCGGGCTGTGGCTCTGCCTGGGAGAGGGGAGAGTGGCTGCAGGGCCTAGAGAGAGCAGAGCCCAGGCCCCGGCTTCAGGGCTCCAGCACTCACCTCTGGACTCCTATCTCCTCCTGCACCGGACGCCAGAAACCCCCAACCAATCACAGGCCTCAGCACCGCAGAATAAAATACACAGATATATTTATAGTATCAAAAGGTCCCCAAAGTGGGGAAGAGGCCCCAGGCAACCTGGGCCCTCCCAGGCAGCCCAGAGCAGAAGAGGGGCTGAAGACCCCAAGTCCACCTCTCGGCCCTGTAGAAACTTACCCAAGAGCTCCCCCCGCCCCCCGCCCCTGGATGAGTGTTCCGTTAGAGTATCAGCTTCCTGTTGTTTGTGCGAGGCGGCGGGCTCCCTTCCAGCGGGGGCCCCAGAGCCTCGAGCCTCTGGAAGGATGGTGTCCCTCCAGAGTTCCTGATTGATGCCCATCTCTCCAACCTCTCCAACTCAGGGTGGGTGACCCTGGGGGAGAGCAGACCAGGCCAGGAGGGCTGTGCACCTGGACTGAGCAGGTGCGGGGGTTCCTCCTCAGGCAGGCCCTGCTGCCCCCACCCCAGCCAGGGATCCCCATGCTGCAGTCTGGATGTGGAATGTGGGGGTGCAGCTTCCTCGTGCGCCCTCTGCTGGCTCACGGCAGGCACGCAGGGCATGAGGGTGTCTGAACAGGAAGGCTTCCAGGCAGCAAGAATCCCAGAGCCAGGGACTGGCTCCTGCGCTCACATGTTTCTCAGGAGCTGCGGGAAGACACAGAAGCCCAGGTTCCATAAGCACCTGGTGAAGGCTCACAGGGCCGCCAAGGCGGAGAGGGGGCTCCCATGAACCACGTGAACAAAGGGGCCGGTCAGGACTCCTACTGAGGACAGAGGAACAGAGCCCCCGGGGAACTCAAAAAGGAGAGGCAAAGAGGGAAGTCAGGTGGAAGGCAGCATCCAGCCCGGACCCCAGCCCTGCCCACAGGGACGGAGAGCCACTCACAGAAAGGGGGTCCGCGGCGAAGGCGGCCACGCTCCGGCGCATCTCGTTCTCACTGCCACGCAGGGGGATCAGCGACACGCTGCCCAGCCGGACCTCAGGGACCACCCGGGACACGCGTGAGGGCTCCGAGGGCCACACCAGGCCATCGTGCTGGGGAGCAGGGGAGGAGAGGGGTGCTGAGACCCGGGCTCAGCTTTGGCCCAGACGCTCAGCTCCAGATCCACCCACCCTTCCCAGAAATGACTCCAGCTATGGTCTGAGGTGACACCCTCAGCTTTGATCCCAGCCGATATGAGAAGCAGCTGTTAGGAGGACATGACTGTATTCCTGGCAAAGCCCAGCCAATTATGTTACCCAACAACTCTCCCCTCCCGCTCCACAAACAAGCTGCTCCGGGGACGCAGCACCAATGCAACAGTTTGCCTCCTCTCACCAGGAACCGAGAAAACTACAACATCTACCGTGTCCCTTTAGACCTTGACTAATACTAAAGGCACTCGGCCCAGGCCTGGTACAGTTTTGTCTCTCTTCTTCCTAAACAATTCTGAGCTCTCCGCTAAAACCTGTTTAAGCCCAACCCCTCGGCCCTGCTCCAAGCCCCCAGCCTGCTCCCACCTGGCCCACTGCTCCCTGGCCTCCTCGCCTCCAGGCCAGCCCCGTAGTCCATCCTCCCTGCATGCCACGTCCAGAATGAGCCCCTAAACTCAAACCCGCACCACTCTTTCTTGCTTAACACTCTCCCTTAAAACTGTTGACTAGGTCAACTTCAGCTTCCATTGCCTTCAAGGGTCTTTGAGGCTTTGCTCCCGACTCCCTTTCCAGCGCGTGCCTGGCACTCCTAGCTTCTCTCTCCACACCCCGCTAGACAGTCTGTAGCTCTCTGCTGTGCCTCTGCGTTAACTTTGCCTAGAAGCCACCCCCCACCTCCTACCTTGGCTTGAACATCCCCTAATCCACAAAGACTCAGCTCCCATGACCCCCTCTCCCTGCTGCCTTCCCCTCACACCCACCCAAGGACAGGTGTCTGCACCCTTTGTATCTAGCTTGCCCGGCTCCGGGATGAACCAGAGTAGGCACTGGGAAGGGTTTAATGAGCAAAGGAACAAACAAAATGAATTTAAAACAACTCGAAATTTCCTTGAACAGTTGGTAGCCTGAATAGTGGAGAAGCAAACATCCCATTCACCACAATGAATGCCTCCTGGGGCCTCCCTTCCCCCCAACACCCAGGCCTGCCCTCTGCACCTGGTACCTGCACAAAGAGGAAGGTGGCGAACCACTCCCGGAGCTCCATCTGCGTCTCACAGCAGAGGTACCTGCAGGGTGGGGCACAGGTCCGGGTGCTGCCAAGGGACGGGCTAAGCAGGGAACACCCTGCCCATCTCCCCAGCCCAGGGCCTCAGGGGAGGGCACAGATCTGGACAGTGAAGGGGACCCATTCAGGGGGACAGGCTACCATCTCTCCTCGGCCTAGGGTCTCAAGACAGGGCCCTCGCTCACCACTGCTGCTTCTCATGTTTCTCTGTTTCGTGCACCACAGTGAAGCCCCAGCTGCAGAGGGGTGAGTGGGCGGTCAGTGGACAGCCCCCAGCGGCCTCACAGCCCAGGTTCCCAGGATAGAGCCCAGAAGCATGGGCCAGAGCCGGGAGCAGAGCTCAGGACCTTCTTGCAGGGGTAGCATGTCCTAGCTACTGCCTCTCCTTTCAGCCCCTACCTTCCTCACAGCCTCCCAGCCCTTGGCTCCCCCATCCTTAGTCCTACCCTACCAGAGCCCTGGTGCCTCAGATAAAGCCAGACACAGCCCGCAGAGAGTCAAGAAAGTCAGAACACTGAACTGGTGGCTTCTTAAATTAATAACATTAATTATTATTATTATGCATCACTTTTCAATTTTTGAAAACATACAGCCACCCTTTGAAACAACTGTGGTATTATTTCCCCATTCTACGGATGCACAAAGTGAGGCATAGAAAGGTCTCAGAGAGAGTCAGTGAAAGGGTTTCAATCCAGGCCAGTAGTTCTCAAATATGAGCAAGGATCAGAGTTCCCTGAACGCTTGTTACAGCACAGACTGCTGCCCGCCCCCCCCCCCCCCACAACCAGGATCAGCAGGTCTGGGAGACCACACCTTCAGAACCATCGAAGCCACGTCAAGTTCAAAGCCCCCAGATGTACCTTCCCCCATCTGTTCTGAGCCCCACAGCCATAGACCCATCTCCCCAGGCCCAGCTCACCAGGTGGGTGGCCGCAGTTTCTTCTTCACTCCCAAGTAGACTCTGAGGCTCTTCACGGGCCACTCCTTCTCAGGTCTGTGACTCTGGGGGGGGGGGGGGGGGGGGGAGGAGAGGGTGCTTCAGTCAGTCGGGTAGACATCAGGGCACTTCTCCCCAGTAGGTACCTCCCCCCTCCCTCACCCAGCCCCCTCTGCATCCCAGCACCAGGAAGCCTTCCTGACAAAGCCCGCCCTGTTCACAATCAGCTCAATGAAGCCCCCAGGCCTCTCTCCCTGCAGCGGCATCAGACAGTCAACCCTCAGTCCCCCGGGCAGCCGTTCCAGCGGGACCCAGAGCAGTGAGTCCCAGTCCCAGAGACAGACATCTGTACATCACCCTCTGGCACCAAACTGAACAAGCGTGGGTGATCTGGTTGGCTGCTCATGTTTGTCTCAGGTTATTTATCCCTCACCCCTCCCTGCCCCGTGGAGGCTCCAGGGTTGACGGTGTGACAGCAGCTATCGCTCTCTGGCTCCACGAGGGGAAGGCTGATGACAAGCTGAAGCAGAACAGCCGTTCGGCAGACCAAAGGAAGAACTTCCTGATGGTCTAGGTCAGGAAGTGAGAGGCCGATGTACTGAGCAGGGACACTAGGACATCGACAGGCTCACTTCTGGCCCCACGTCTGCAAATGGGTCTGCACGTGGAAGGAGCAGGCTGGCTCAGAGGCAGGGAGAAGGGAGCGATAACCCCCCAAGGAAGAGGTTGGAGGTCAAGCTAACGAGTCTTCCTCCTGCTCTGGGAGCCACTTGCTCGAAGGCCTGTCCCCACCAGGCACCCCTGGAGCCAGCAGTGGCACCAGGGTGAATGGCAGGGAAGATGGACTCACTTACAACCAGAACTGGGGGTCAGAGATTGAGCCAACCCCACCATGTTTCCCACCATTGCTCCTAGGCACCCCCAGGCACGGCTCCTCTGCAAGAACAGAAAGAGGGAACTAGGGGGTGGCCGGGGAGAGAGACAGTTTCGGAAATTGGCGGGTTCCCTGTGAGGTCACTAAAGGACGGACTGCCTGGGATTAGTGGAGACTTCAGTGCTGTCATAAGTGGTGGCTTAAGAGCAGCTCACTAGGACCCTTTATCCTGCTCTCACCCAACCCCCCTAACGACCGAGGCCTTGATGGAGAAGCCCTATGTCTCCTACACACAGCACCTGCCCAAGGCAGCCTGGGACAAACTGGGCCGTGGGCACAGGATGATCCAAGCTGCAGGCAGGAGGAACCTGGGCAGTGGGAGGGAAATAAGCTGTGGATATGGGAAAAACAAGGTGTGGGGAGAATACAAGGAGGAAACCTACATGCATGAGCTGAGAGAATTGAAAAAATCAGACTGCAGGCTGAAAGGAGGCAGGTGGCAGGATGGAGAGACTGAGACAGGCTGTAAAAGAAACTGGGCTGCAGTCGCCATTCTGACAGCCCCGGAAGCCCCTCTTGGGTTAAGCGTGGCTCCAGCGGTGACAGGAGATGAGGACCGGTACTCTAACTCAAATCTAGGGGCCTCTGTTATTGGCTCCTCCCCCTCCACACGGAGTCTTCTGGAAAATTCTAGAGCATCACATTGATGGGGGACTCCTACTTTAGGAAAAGGACTCTGGGAGAGGTTTGGGGATGAAGGGCAGGAACCTAGGCCACAAGCCCAGGGTAGGTAGGGCCAATGCCGACAGGCGAGAGGGCAGGGAGTCATGCCTGGAGATGGCCAGGAGCTCTGGCTTGTCATGAGCTCATGCTCCCCCCAGGCTCACTTGGCCCCCAGGTGGTGTAAGGCAGCTGGCAGCTGGCCCACAGCTACTCACGGTCTCAGGGGCCCCGCTCCACGGCCTCTGGCTCTGTTTGATAGAGGATCAGGGTTACAGAAGAAGGAGGCCCAGGTCCAGAGCCAGGACGGGTGTGCGTTGTGGTGTGTGGTAGGATGTGGCATGTATGTGCAAAACACGTTGGGGAAAAGGTTGTCAGGATAGGATTTGGTCTGGGAAGAACCCAGCATGTGGACAGAGTGGGCCCACAGGGGATGTGACCTGTGCAGCAACAAGATATGCTGGGGCCACAAGTTGGGCTGTCGCCATGTAGCATGTTCCTGTGTGTGTCATAACAAGACACAGGCATAGGCGGGAAAGCACAGGCCTGATGTGATGGCATCCAGGCACCAGGGCCGAGTGGGGCTATCGAACAGAGCGGGGTAGCCACCCAGGGCCACTGCTGTGTTGGCCCAAGGCCCCTCAATAGAGACGCTCCCACTGGCAAACCCAAGGGAACACCAGCGCATGCGTGCGTGTGTGTGCACACTCAGGTGCAGGGCCCTTCGCAAGGCGGGACCCAGCGGGGCCGCTCACCCGGATCTCCTTGTAGAGCCGCAGGCAGCTGCTGTTGAGGATGAAGTAGCGATCGTGGAAGCCACCTGAGGGCA